AATTACACTGTTTTTTAGCCTTTAAAGAAAGCAAAGCACAAAAGCTTACTTGTTCAGGCAATCTGGCTTGCTGAAAATACTGCATATAGGCAGAGAACTGTGCAGCTTATAAAAACCCCAGTCAAGAGGGAGAGATACTTGAGTTTGTATCCAAGAAAGATGGTGGCTGAGGATGCACAAATCCAGAGTGGGTGCCCTGGAGGGACAATGCAAGGGGAATACAGCTGCAGTTACTCTGAATTGTGACATGAGGAAAATTGCACTATGCAGGGGGTAGGGATGTGAACGACTAGTTGATGAGTTGACTAGACGATAAACAACTGCTTAGCAGATAGTTGACAGGCTAGTCGACTAGTCGCTTTCCCTCCCCTTGCTGTCTCTATCAGAAAGAGGCAGCAAAGAGGGAGAAGACGAGGGGGTGCTTCAAAGCGGCAGCACCATGTGGTATCCAGGGATAGACCCCAGGATCCAAGTGGTGTTGCCGCTTTGAAATGCCGAGTGCAGCCCAGGGTCCCCAGCTGGCCCTAGGCTGCATGTGGTATTTCAAAGTGGCACGTCGAATGAAGCCTGCCCCCACTGACCCTGGGCTCCATGTGGCGCTGTTGCCTTGAAACGCTGTGGGGAGCACAGGGCCACTGGGGAACTGCTGAGTCCCCCACTGGCCCAGTGGTCACCACAGCGCTTTCACTTTTGAAGTGTACCAACAACCTGGGGGCAGTTGCTACACTTCAAAGGCGTAAGTGCCCTTATCGACTAATCGAAATTTTACATCCCCAGCAGGGGGACATTTTTGTCAGGCCCCTGGGCAAGATGGAGGGGACGGCTCCACACTCCTGGAAGGGGCAAAGCCTTGGATGAATGGGGCAGGACTGGGACAGCCAGCCCTCAGTGCCGCCTGCGGCATACTGCTTCCCAGCCCCAGGAAGCACTCAGAGCTGCTTGGAGTGCACCATGTCCATCTCCAATGGTGATTTAAAGGGCTCAAAGCTCCAGCTGCTGCAGCAGTCGCAACCAGAAGCCCTACCCGTCCCCCCGTCCCCACCACACACACACCCCATCAGTGGGCCTGGTACTATATTCCTCTTGTCTGCTTAAATTATAAACGCATCATGCCAGCAACTGCTTTGTGTACCAGTAAGTGCACTATCTAACAGAGTTGGACTCAAATCTTGATTGAAGTACATAGGCATTACTGTAATTCAGACTGTTATGTTGTGGTTTGCCCAATAAATGTCGTCAACTCTTTTAAATCTGGCCTGCACTAAGCACTGGAGAATAAAGTCTGGAAAGTATCTGGATTGGCCAAGACATTGGCTAGATGCCCTAATAAATGTTTTCCATCTTTTTTAATTATACTGCTGTTTGACTGCTCAAGCCATCTTTTCTTGTTTGTGTCCTATTTAATAAGAACATTTCCAGAGCACCAATGTGTTCTTGCTACAAGTCTACTTTACATTTTCCTAATCAACAGCAGTGAAGTAATTTGAGAGCCACTTACATCAATAACACTTTCTTTCTGCTTCCTAGCTAACTATGCACACTTAACAAATACCTATTTGCAATCACTGAAAGCTACTTATATAAGTAGTGTCTGTGCATGTCAATGTTTAGACATTTAATGTTTGTCCTTTGTCCAAGAGAAATTGATAACAAATGATATTCATCGTATGTATTATAAAATATTCATGCAGAGTTAGTGGTACATAGTAAATTTAGTCATTTGCCAGCATCAGACCCACTGACAGGAGAGGGGGGAAAAGAGCGCAATTGCCCCAAGGCGCTTTGATTCAAAAGGGCCTGGGCTCCCAAAGGCCACCAGTGCTAGTGCACTTTGGGGCTATGTCCACATTGGCAGGTCCTTGCACAAGAACATCTTGCACAAGAATCCTTGTGCAAGAACTCTTGTGCAAGAACACGTCCACACTGCCATGTGCTTTTGCACAAGAGCATCCATGGCAGTGTGGATGTTCTCTTGCGCAAGAACGTTCTGATGGTAATTTTAGCTATAGGGCTTTCTTGCTCAAGAAACCCCTGCCACGTGTCCACACTACTCTTTTGCACAAGAGCTCTTGCAGAAGAGGGCTTATACTTGTTAGAAAGGAGTGTAGCTCTTGCGCAAGAAACCCTGCCTTCTGACACCATACTGTAAATCTTCTTGCACAAAAGCGGGCAGGCAGTGTGTACTCTCTGCGGGTTCTTGTGCAAGAACCGATGTTCTTGCACAAGAATCCACCAGTGTAGAAATAGCCTTGGAGTTCTGAAGAGTTGCCAGGGGGAGGCTAGCCCCAGCCCTGCCCTTTCTGCCCAAGGCCCTGCCACCTCCAGGAGCATGGAGCTGGGCCCCTCCCACCTTGCATAAGGGCCCAGCAAGTCTGTCAGCCCCCCTGACCAGCATACCCCAATGGAAAACTTTCTTTAGATGTTTCACTATGGTCAGACTATGGGCAGCCCATGTATGAAATGATACAAATGCATTCTAAGGAACCAGGAAGTAACCACCTCTTCTGTTCTTGCACCCGATTTCCGTAGATGCTGTGTCCTGAATGCCTATGGACTTCAGCACTTTACACAATCAACCATTGTGTAAGTTTCTCCTAGAATCTTATATTGGTCTTGGTAGGAAGTATACCCCCAGTCACTAAAACAGGGGTATTTATCTGTATAAAGACAACAGGATTGTTCTCACTGTGACTTGGCTCACAAATGGGAGACTTCGAGTACAAAGGCCAAAGCCTGAAGCAATAGGAACTTTGTCACATTGGCTTTGACATATTTGAAGCCAGTAGGAATTTTGGCTTCAGTGTGACCAGGCTTCAGACCCAGATGAGAAGTTTGCAAACATGCCATCAGTCTTAGTGAACCAAAAAGTTGACACTAAGCTATCCAGCCCCATGATTTCCAGTGAACATATCATCTTGTTCTGAGCTATCAAAAGGTTCACTTGAAAGATTCAGGCAATAGATTCATTTTAGTAAGTCACACACTTAAAGCCATATTGTATTTTTCCCTTGCTAGAAGGGCTGTCCCATGTCTTTTGGTGAGATAGTAAAATTAAGATAAATGTTTAGTCAAATATTTTTATCTATAGCACATAAATATTTATAAGTAATTTGCTCTTTGAGGAGGAACAGCCCTAAATAGAATTGCCTGGGCAAGTATATCTGGAATGGAAAGTAATTGTTCTGGCTGGAATCCCATACTCTATAGCATTTGCTGGCTGTAACACATATATTATTATATAGGCTACCTTTGGGAGGCATCCAAAGACCAGTCTCTAGCTTTCAAATCTCCTTATTACCATATGGGAACGTGTGCTGTTAGCTGTAGAACAAAACTAAAACTGTCAGGCCTTCAGTCTAGATAGGTGAGTAAATCACCCAAAAATTGACAAACAAGAAGGGCCTCTTGCATTTTAGAACATACATATAAAATTATATTAAAGTTGTAAGTTAAGTGAGCAAACTCAAAAGAATTCAGGTTTAAAAATGAAAACTATGTCTTTGATGCCCTGCCTCCTATCAGAGCCAAGCCAACTACATGTCCCCGTCCCACCCCACAGGGAGGTGGGGCAGCGTACGCCCCCACACTCCTCAAGCTAAGTTCCCTGTAAACTGTGTGACTATGTGGCTGCACAGCTGTTTTCTGAGCCCTGCGCAGAGGTTCAGAGCTCCCGTGCAGGCAGGGGAATCAGCTCACCAGCAGGGGGAGTGGCATCTCGCTCAGCAGTAGCTTCAAATAGAGGTGCCGCCTGCTTGAAACGGAGGAGGGCAGATAAGAAAGGGAGATACGGATGGAATAAATGGTTGGAGGGAGTGGGAGGGTGAGGAGGAGAGAGGGAGGGAGTAATTGGCGAGGGGAGTTTGGAGAGTTTTGTCTGGGGGAGGAGAGAGAGGGAGGCAGAGACTGAAATCCAGCACTCTCCTCAAACCTCCCGGGCTGGGAAAGGAGTGGGCAGGTAAGAGGCTGACTGCATGGGTTAGGTGGGAGAAAGAGAGGGTGGGAGGGTGCTAGCATTGGGGTGAAGTTGATGTGAGGGGAGTTTGTACAGTAAAGCCTGTGTAATCCGTCATGCTTGGGGATTAGGGCGTTCCGGTTATCTAAACATTCTGGTTATCTGAGGGTCCCATCAACCTAGGAAAAGCCAATGGACAATAATAGTAAAACTCAAGTTTACAAAGTTTTCTGGTTAACAGAGTGCTGGATACTAAAGGTTTCACTGTACTGTGTCATGAGGTGAGTTGGGAGACAGGTGGTGATTTTGTTTGTGCTGTGTCATGGGGTGAATTGGGAGAGGGGTGGATAATTTGTTTGTGCTGTGTGTCCTGTCCTAAGTCCAGGTATCCTGCTGGTGCCTGCAAGTTTGAGGAGCAGCAGTCTGCGAGCTGACCTTGTCTGTGAAGATGGAAGCAAAAAAAAAAACATTGAGTATTTCTCACATCATCTGTCAATAGGTTGCCTTCCCCTTCTTCTTGTTGCTAATATAACCATAGAAACCTTTCTTGTTATCAGTCACATCTCTTGTAGCTGCAACTCCAGATTCAATTTGGCCTTCCTGATTACACATCTGCATTCTTGAGCAATGTTTTTATACTCCTCCCTAGTCATCTGTCCAAGATTGCACTTCTTGTAAGCTTCCTTTCTTGTGTTTAAGCTCATCAAAGATTTCTCTGTTAAACCAAACCATATTTGCTATTCTTTCTGCACATTTAGATGGTTTGTTCCTGTGCCCTCAATAAGGCTTCTTTAAAATACAGCTAGCTCTCTTGGATTTCTTTCCTTCTCCTATTAGCCTCCCAAGTGATTCTGTCCATCAGTTCCTTGAGGGAGTCAAAGTCTACTTATCTGAAGGCCAGGGTCCCTGTTCTGCTGCTCTCCTTTCTTCCTTTTGTCAGGATCCTGAATTCAGCCACCTCATGGCCACTGCTGCCCAGGTTGCCACACACTTCTACTTCCTCTACCAATTCTTCCCATTCTTCTGAGTGGTGTCGTACGCATGACCCCAAGTTGATTCCTTCAGCACTTGCACCACGAATTTGTCCTCAAAACTCTTCAAAAACTTCCTGACTGAACCCATGAGAACCAGGGCCTGTGATCTGGAAACTTCTTTTAATTTCTGAAGAAAGCCTCATCTACCTCATTCTCCTGGTCTGGTGGTCTGTGTTGCCTTCAGACTCAGCCAAGGAATAACCAAACAAAGGGTGAAATCAAGCAGCACTGAAGCTTGTTTGTTAGCATAGATTCTTAAGGGTATGGAAATACTTACATACACACACCTCACATTCATATTGGCAGTTTGGAGGCAGGCTACAGTTGTGGCATAGATTACTTCTGATTTCACAAGTAGCTGGCCAGGTGTCAGCTTCCCGGAGATCAACCATTAAGGCGACGAGGGTCCCTGGAGGTCACTACGGATCTGCAGGAGGGCTCTACTTCTTCTTGGCCGCCTTCAGGCTTGGTGTGTTGTTACACTTTGCATGGCCCTTTCTTGCCTGAAAAGGTTATAAATCCTAGATTGCCTTACAACTGGGTGTTTCTCATTCACACTTCCTCACTCATTCCATAGGCTACATGCATATTCATAAGCATACATTAAGCAATATGGTTTCTAAGCAACCATCTGGCATAATTGGCCTTGACACCCTAACATAAATTTTATCTAAGAAAGCCAGGGTCAAGAGAAGGGGGAAAGCAGGGAAGTGTGTTGAGCCACCTAGACACCAGTGTGTGTGGGGGGGGGAGGCGTGTCTGACCGGCTGCAGTCTATGGCAGATGCCCATCACAACATCACTCTTGTTGCTCTTGCCTCTAATCTTAACCCAAAGACTTTCAACAGGCTTTTCTTCAGTTTCATACAAGAGCTCAGAGCAACCACACTACTCTCTTAGGGTATGTCTACACTACCTCGCTAGTTCGAACTAGCGGGATAATGTAGGCATACCGCACTTGCAAATGAAGCCCGGGATTTGAATTTCCCGGGTTTCATTTGCATAAGCGGGAGAATTGAATAAATATTGGTAAATATTTGGTGTGAATTTTTTAAATAATAAACTTTAGAAAGCACCTGTAGTAAATTATATTTTAAATACATTTACATTGTCATTTGTTTATTTCTAAATGTTCCTATTCTCTGGTTTAGCACCGGTCAGGTCCTGGGGGTGCCAGACTAGAGAGGTTCAACTTGTAATCCCAAAGACAGATAAATTACTTTATCCTTTTAAATAGCTGTCATCCTTCACAAACAAGACACCATTTACCGAACAAATATCTTTTTGTAAAAACAACTGGCAGTCCTGTGGCACCTTAGGGTATGTCTACACTACCCTCCTAGTTCGAACTAGGAGGGTAGTGTAGACATACCCTTACATATAGCGCAACTCCTCTACCTTTTCTCTCCCGCCTATCCTTCCTGAACCTTTTATACCCATTCATGAGAGTGCTCCAGTCATATGAGTTACCACACCAAGTTTCTATTAATCTAATCAGATCACAGTTCGTTGATTGTGCCAGGAAGTCCAATTCTTCCTGTTTCCCAGGCTTCTTCCATTTGTGTACAGGTACCTAAGATAATTAGCCAAGTGCTCTACTTTCTTAATATGCAACAGGAGACTTCCCCCGTTGCACCCTCCTCCTTGTGTTTTTTCCCAATATTCCACTTCCTCATTTACTGCAGGGCTTTGGTCACCACCACCCTGAGAATTTGTCACGATTCACAGCAGAAACAGATGCTACCTCACATAAAATCATAAACAAATGTCTTTTCTGGGCTTGCAAACTAGGTGTAAGCTGTGCTTCCAGACAAATTCTTGATTTAATGCAAGTAATTCTGTATCCCCTTATAAAAATGGCTATTAGTGAGAGAATGTGAGAAAATACATTTTTTCACCACTGTGGGTGAACATTCTAGAAATCAGAATTGTAATATAAAGTTTAGTCCCATTCTTACATTATCAGGACTTATCAAAAATGGATTTACTTTGATTACACATTTGAAAGATTATAAAATGGTTGGATAACTTCAGTGGAATTCAGTGAAAGTATTTAAATTGGTTTAACCTAAAAACTTGTCATGTTCTTTTAACATCTGGTCCTTCTTATTCAACTCTAGTTAAAAAACAAAGAAAATAGATTTTTTTCCTCATTTATAAAATCAAAGTAAAGGAACAAAGGCTAAAATATTAGAGCACTTCAGAAGATTATAGAACCCCTTCCATATAAAATTCTTCTATTGCATTTCCAGCAAGCACTTGTTTTATAGAAATGATTCATTAACTTTCTAAATGGTGTGTTTTCTTATTTTGAGCATTCATTTCTCAATATGAAAATGCCTTGTCAGATCAGTCCTATCCTCTTAAAATGTTGTTACACCTGATAAAATATAATAGTACTTTTGACATTTTTAGGTAGCACACACATACATAAAGCATATTTTGCTGGAATTAGTTTATTCCCTTTAATGTAAGAAGAAGTTTTAAAATTGTAAAGAGATGTTGCAATGTAAACCTAAAATGTACTACAAAATTCGTCCTTAAAACAAATAAAAATAATCAAATGAGTTCACATTGTTACCCGGATCCTATTAGATCTCTGAAATACATTTAATTTATATCCCAATTAAAATGAAGTTTCCAAAGTTCAATACCTGATTATCTGAAAAACAGAATTAATTTTAAGGACACTTCCAGCAGAAAACTAAATCTCTACAAAAACCCAATAGGGATATTTTGCCAGTATGCGTGGCTTGGCACTAACAGAATATAATCTCAAATAGTTTTTACTCCAGGAATAGACTTCAGTATCTTTCTTGTGTTATCAGGCAACACTGCTAGTCTTTCTGGAAGGCACAAATGGGATCTGTCCAGTAGTGGTGCCAAATGGATTAAATTCAGATGGTATTACTGAGGGTATGTCTACACAGCAAAGTTATTTCGAAATAACTTTACTAGCGTCTACACAGCCAAACCACTAACCATTAATTTCAAATTCAAATTAATTCAAAATAGCAGAGCGCTTATTTTGAATTGGATAAACCTCATTACACGAGGAATAATACCAAATTCAAAATAGCTATTTCAAAATAAGTGGGGCCTCCAGCCTTCCCAGGGTGCCCGGGGCACTCCAACTTCAACCAAGAACACTCCTCTCTCTCCGCCTCCCTGGCGCCCTTAAAAGAGTTGACTCTGGCCATAGTGCCTGTGCCAGCTCCAAGCCTGGCATCCCAGAGCCAGCAGTCACTGCCCCTGACCCAGTGGCCCCAAAACATGAGCCAGCAAGCCACTGGCAGGCAGCCTTCCACTGCTCCCCCCGAGCCAGCCTGGCCACCAAAGGCCAAATGCGAACCCAGGAGCAGGTTTGTATGAAAATCAAATTGGTCCGGCAAGACCCACAACCCTGAGCCCTGAACTTCCCCTCCTTCTTCTTCCCCTTGCTTCCCCCTTCCAGCTCCCTCCTCCCAGGTTTCCCCATCCCTCTCCCACCCTCTCTTCTCGCCTCTCCCACCTCCTTTCTCCAGTCTCACTTGAGTTTCATTCCCCCCCTCCAGTTGTGTTAAATAAAGAGAGTTTGTGTTCATGAAAAAACATGTATTTTATTTGACATCAGGAAGGGGAGTTAGGGAGGGGTAAGTCGAAGGAAATGAGGGAGGAATGAGGCACAATCCCCTAGTGAGGCAGAGCAGGGAGGCTCCTAGTGCTCCTCAGGCTGGAAGCTCTCCCACAGGGCCTCCTGGGTACCGACATCCCCCCAATGGACCTCCCAGTTGGCAGCCTGCAGAAAGTGCAGCCAGGCTCACAGCAACGCATCCACGAGAAGCACCAGAGTGCCCAGGGGCAGCTCTGGCTCCATGTTGCAGAGTGCTGTGGTGTCCCGAGTGAGGGCAACCAGAGCATGCAGAGACAAAATGTTTTGCTGTCCCACATCGAGGTAGGCAAGCAAGCAGGGAAAGCTGAGAACTGGCTGTCCAGGGAGGGGCCCTTTAAGCACAGGCCTCAGATAGCCTCAGGCAACAGCCACACAAAGTAACACCTGACCTGATGCCTTGCCGGACCTGGTTCAGGCCGGCCTTAAATGCGATTCAGCGTCCTATCAGTGTGGACTGTTACCCCAAAAATATTCTCACTGGAGACCAACCAGGGTTACACTACTATGGGTTTATTTCCACTAGGTAAAACTAAAGAGGAGTAAGTAGCCACCAAAGGTTTAAACTAAAGAAGATAGAACTCGCTCTCACACACACACACACACATAGACAAGCAAGCACACACATTCATTCACTCATTCGCACTAATTCAAACCTATGGGGGAGGGATAGCTCAGTGGTTTGAGCTTTAGCTTCCTAAACATGGGGTTATGAGCTCAATCCTTGAAAGGGCCATTTAGGGATGTGGAGCAAATCTGTCAGGGATGGTATTTGGTCCTGCCATGAGGGCAGGGGACTGGACTTGATGACCTCTTGAGGTCCCTTCCAGTTCTATGAGATAGGTATATCTCCATATATTATTATTCCGGCACTCAAACTTACACAGACCTATGGGTTGCAGAAGGAGCCAAGGCCTGTGGATCCTGGAGGGTCTGTCTGCTTATCATGGCTGGGGAAGCTGGTCAGGAGGAAAGACACTGGAGAGGAGTTTCTCAAGAGCAGAGGAAGGAAAAAGAGGGAGTCTCACACTTACTCCTTCTCTTTATATAGTGTCTGAATAGCTCCTGTGACTCATTCACCTCATCATCAGAGAGCATGCCCAGACTTTGCTTTTTTATGCAACATGGATGTGCTATTTTGAAATGGCCAGATTCTATTTCAAAATGCATTTTGTGTGTAGATGCGTTATTTCAAAATAAGCTATTTTAAAATAACTATTTCGAAATAAGATATTTCAAAATAACGCTGTAGTGTAGATATACCCTGAGAAACTATGTTCTTGGAGAGTAATCTTCAGAGCCTGAGGTTATGTCTACACTGCAAGCTTTTTTTAGAATAAGCTTTTCCAGCTTATTTCGAAATAGGGCATCCACATGCAAAAAGCACAACGAAATAGCGATGTGCTATTTTGAAAGATAGCGTCCACACTGATTGGATGCTATCTTGCATTTTTAGGCCACACAGAACCAGTTCAGGTAAGGCATTAGGTCAGCAGTTGCTTCTGGGTGCTGCTGCATAAGGCTATCTGAGATGTGTGCTTAAAGGGACCCCCCTGGACAGATGTTTCTCAGGTTCTTCTGATTGCTTGCCTACCTCTCTGAGGCTTTGTCTACACTGCAGGGTTTTTGCACAAGAAGCTTTTTGCGGAAGAGATCTTTCACAAAAACTTCTTGCGCCAAAGCGCGTCCACACCTCAAAAGCGCATCACAAAAGTGATGTGCTTTTGCACAAGAGAGCGTCCACACTGTATGGACACTCTTGCGCAAGAAAGTTCTGATGGCCATTCATAGAATGGCTATCAGAGCACCTGTGCTTTTTCTGATAGTCTCTTTTTGTGCAAGAAACCCCTGTTAG